CGGGGTTCACTGGCCTCCTGGGAGCGTGGAGGGTGAGACCCCCGTGCTCCTGCATGTCCCCTCACAGAGGTGGGTGACATTCTGGCCCCACCTCTCCGCAGCTCCAACGAGACGCTGTCCTGCGTCATCATCTTTGTCATCGTGTACTACTCGCTGATGTCGGGTGTCATCTGGTTTGTCATGCTCACCTATGCCTGGCACACGTCCTTCAAGGCCCTGGGCACCACCTACCAGCCGCTGCTGGGCAAGACCTCCTACTTCCACCTCATCACCTGGTCCATCCCCTTCGTGCTCACCGTGGCCATCCTGGCCGTGGCACAGGTAACGGGGTGAGCACCATCAGGGGATGGTGTCTCAGGGTGACACTGCAGCCAGCTGACCCTCCTGTCCCTGTCCCTGTCCCTGTCCCTGTCCCTGTCCCTGTCCCTGTCCCTGCCAGGTGGATGGTGACTCTGTCAGTGGCATCTGCTTCGTGGGCTACAAGAACTACCGCTACCGAGCCGGCTTCGTGCTGGCCCCCATCGGGCTCGTGCTCATCGTGGGGGGCTATTTCCTCATCAGGGGTAGGTGTGCCTCTGTCCTGGGAGGGGACGGGGTCACCGTGGGTGTCCCCACACCCTGACCCCCTCGTCCTCCCCACAGGGGTCATGACGCTCTTCTCCATCAAGAGCAACCACCCCGGGCTGCTGAGCGAGAAGGCGGCCAGCAAGATCAACGAGACCATGCTGCGCCTGGGTGAGGGCTGCACCGACACTTCCCCAGGGAGCCCGGGTGGCAACGGGGACATTTTGTCCCCTGAAGTCACTCAGCCCCTTCCCGGGGTGGCAGCAGTGGGGACAAAGCTGTGATGGTGGTGGTGGTGGTGGCACAGCCCAGTGCAGCGTCTTTGTCTCAGTGCCACTGGAGCTTGGCTGGAGTTCATCCCTTTCTCTTCCAGGCATTTTTGGCTTCTTGGCCTTTGGCTTCGTCTTCATCACCTTTGGCTGCCACTTCTATGACTTCTTCAACCAGGCCGAGTGGGAGCGCAGCTTCCGGGAATACGTCCTGTGAGTGGGACAGGGACAGGGTGACAGGGACAGGGTGGCAGGGACACGGTGCCACCACAGCGTGGACAGCCCCACGTCCCCCATGAGCGGTGCCACCACATCACCCTGCAGGGCTGTGGGGGCCGTGGGCTGTCCCTGCTCCTCCTTATGGCCGCTGTCCCCGTGTGTCCCCACAGGTGTGAGGCCAACGTGACCATCGCCACGCAGACCAACAAGCCCATCCCCGACTGCGAGATCAAGAACCGGCCGAGCCTGCTGGTGGAGAAGATCAACCTCTTCGCCATGTTCGGCACCGGCGTCTCCATGAGCACCTGGGTCTGGACCAAGGCCACCCTGCTCATCTGGAAGCGCACCTGGTGCAGGTGGGACCCCAGGGTGTCACCCCAGCTCCCTGGAGCCCTTGCTGCCCCATCCAGTGGCATGGTGGAGGACATTCCCAGATGTTTGTCCCTCAGCTCCATGGGTTGTGGGCTCACAGCAGCGCAGGAACGGGGTGGCCTCTCCCCTGTGGAGTTTGTGGGACACCTCCATCCCCAAGGGACCCATTGCCCAGTCTGGTGTCCCCATGTGCAGGAGGGGGAGCTGGGGAGGGTCCCTGTGCCCCCAGCTGTGACAGCTGTGCCCCCTGTCCCCTCCGTGTGCCCAGGCTGACGGGGCAGAGCGATGACCAGCCCAAGAGGATCAAGAAGAGCAAGATGATCGCCAAGGCCTTCTCCAAGCGCAAGGAGCTGCTGCGCGACCCGGGCCGGGAGCTGTCCTTCAGCATGCACACCGTGTCCCACGACGGCCCCGTGGGTGCGTGCCCGGGCCAGGGATGTCCCCAACAGCCCCCCAGAGTCCCCAAAGTCCCCCTTGACCAGATCCCCCTGTCCCCACAGCCGGCTTGGCGTTCAACATCAATGAGCCGTCGGCCGACGTGTCCTCGGCGTGGGCGCAGCACGTCACCAAGATGGTGGCCAGGAGAGGGGCCATCCTGCCCCAGGACATCTCCGTGACACCCGTGGCGACACCTGGCAAGTCCTTGGGGACCTCGTGGGGAATGTCTGGGGGATGAGCCGGGCTGGGGGTGTGCAGGGATGGTGTACTCAGGTTGATGGAA